CCTCTTGGGAGACATTCTAATCAGCCTGGTGTAGTAGAAGGGCTTCTGAAGGGACAGCAAAAATCCCATTTTTTTTATAAACCCCCATTAACACTAGAGGCAGAAGCGGCACATAAAAGTTCTTAGCTTAGGGCAAACACGAGTGCCCCGGGTAAAGCCTGGTCTGTCCTTGAAAAGTCAGGAATTAACTAGTGTCTACGTGACACTAAAGAAGTATAGGTGGGCAATGTAGCCAGCCCGTCAAAAGTCAACCCACCAACCATAATTGCAATCCCCTGCCCTAACAGTGGCACTCAAAACAGCTATGAAAGCAAGTGGGAGGGGAAACTCGGGGCTTTTTTCCTTCACCACCTTCCTGAGGAAGGAGAAAAGTCTCCACATGTGGAAATAATATAATAAACGCTCTTGAAATTTCAGACGTGTTTTTAGATTTCTTTGAGGGGCATTTTGTGGGCAGAACACTTCAGCCAATCAGAAGAGAGTATGACCACCAGCCACATCCTACCTAAATATCAGCTATGATACAACCCACCTAAGGGTTCTAAGTAGCTCCTTACATGGGAATGGACAGAGAACATCCAATTAGTGTCCTCCATAGATAGAACTGACCACCAAATAGAGAGGGACCTGACCACCAAATAGATCAACTTACCTCTTACTCCACGCACATAAAACCCTTATTGTAACTTTCCTACCTGTGTGTTACTTCCTATCCCCACTCCCTTCCTCTGGCCCAGGGCTAGGGAACTTCATCCAGAGCTGATAAGAAATTCCTTTGTTTTACTCCATCTGGTTTTCCAAGGCCTGTTTTACCTCACATGTTGTTTATAGAATTGCTGTTGTTGCTGTTGTTAGGTGCCATTGAATCACCTATGACTCATAGTAACTCATGTGTTCCTAGTATCATAAGGTTACTATGAACTGTAGTCCACAAGACAGCACCTGATAGCAAGAGTGGAGCCGAGGCCCATGAAGAAAATTCAGTAGAGTCTGCCTCCATGCCAACAGAAAACCCACCAGCTTTGCTATCAATAATGTCACATGATGATGATTCAGGACAACAACCTGGTAAACCTAAGACATGAGATGTTTTTAATCGTTTTGATTAGACTCCCATTGACTTTTCAAATGATGTTGAGATGCCATATAGCAGGCATGCCTGAGACTGTGCATGTATTTGTGGTAGCCCCAAGGATGCCTCTCACCCATCACCCTGTTGCCCAAGAGACGCCTTCTGTGTACTCACAGGCAGTGGACCACGGTGCGTCCCTCTCTCCCATCATACTGCTCCTGCCACTTCTCCAGTCTTCGGACCACTTTGAGCAGAGAGCGCTTGGAGGGCGGTGTGTCCCGGTAGGCTGGCCAGCCGATGTACTGGAGGTGCTGGACTATACGGTACCCATCCTGTGGCTGAGAACACAGACGCTATTAGTGTCATTCTGCTGGAGATGCATTGGGATTCAAGTCCTCCAGATACCTTGGCACTGCACAGAGATCCATTGTAATGGAAGACAGACTTAATGGGGTCTAGGCTATTTTAACAGGGGAGAGAAACAGGCCTTAACTATGTATTTACCTTTATCAATACGGCTTTATCCTCCATGAATGTCCTTTACCTTTGTCTACCTAGAAAACTCCTACTGAGTCTTCAAAACCCAGCCCCTGGGCCACTTCCTTCAGTGAGCCCTTCTGTGACTCTTCTGGGTAGAGTCTTCCTATCTCTGTAGGGTTCACGTGTCAGAACATTCCTTATTGTCCCATCAGACAAACAACTCCAAGGGCAGAGATTGAGTTCTGCCCACGCTGGGCACTCAACACCAAGCCCCCACCAAAGTGCAGTAGTTTACCCATCTTTCCATAAATCATTCATCTATGCTTCTATCACTGAGTAGGTCAGTCCCCAGTAGTGAGTTTCTTTGGAGAAGCAAATCACTCTTCTTCATCTCTGTGCACCCACAGCCTAGCCTAAAGTTTGCAGGAGCCAATCAAAAGCTCTGTCAATTCATGCCAAAAGAATGCACCATAATGGGGAAGTTAGTTTCTGAGTTGTGTATGGGGAAGCTGACCAATGGTAGGCTGGGTTCCATTCATTGCTTCTCTATTTTGGAGCCTTTCCAGGGTCTGGAGCTGGAATTGAGAAAGACATGGCTTTCCCAAGGAAATGATTAAAAGAGGAGTAGAACAAAGACTTAGAGCCAGCCCAGCCTCATCCTCTTCCCAATGCCTCTGTTTGTTTTGGAGAGGAGGGAAGCAGGCAACCATGGCAAGGGACACTTACCCGAGCCATGTTACAGATGCGAAATATTCTATGGATGATGTCCTCGTCAATGTCCGCAGAGACGAACTCCACTTGAATGGGCCCGTAGCACCCGGAGGTCTTCTCAGGCCAATACTGCATGCAGAGCTGGGGCAAAGAAAGACATCTCAGGAAGAGGCTGAGGGAAGGGGATGACACCCAACTCCCTCGTCACTGAACCCTTCTTATTGGCAGCAGGACACGTTGGCTAGTTAAGCAGAGTAGCAAACAGAGGGCTGCTCGTGGAAAGGCCATGCCCTCTTTGGATTGTTGCAAGGCCATGACTCTGGTCAAGATACATGAGGCTAAAAACTTTCTGCCATGTTGACTTCAAACCATGTGTGAAGTTTGATGGACTTCACTTTCCCCATCCTTAGAATGGGGACCGCAGTATCTAACTTAAAGCCCTGTTGTCAAAAGTAAATAGGACCTTCTGAGGGAAGGACAGCTAACATTTCATTTTCTTTTTACCAACAGGAATCATGGCAAACTTTCCTGATCTAAGAGACACCTTCACAATGTCCATTTCATGATCAGGTAATTCTATTTGTTTGTTTGTTTGTTTGTTTTTTTAATTGGCTCTGATAACAAAGTTTACATCTGAATTCAGGCTGCGTGACCCCCACACAGCTCAGTTGCTTGTCCCTTATGGGTATAGTGGGGATAATTATGTTTCCTTTGAACCAAAAAATAAGGGGGGAGGGGGAAGAGACATGCTGCTTAGAAAATTTACCTGCTATCTCTGCTGTTTTTCTGAAATTTGCAGTTATAACTTAGACCTGAGAGTGAAAGACCATGGGTACCTCTGGGTCTAAGAAAGTAGTTCCAAAGTAGAGTTAGATTTGTCCCCCTCAGGATATATAACAATGGTAGGAGTTTGGGTTTCACAACTGAGTGTTGCTACTATCATCCAGTGACTTGAGTCCAAGTACGCTGTTGACTATCCTACAATTTTAACAGTTATTATAAGAGTTATCTAGTCCCTAGTATATACTGCATTGAAACAGAGGAGGGAGAGAACTGTTTAAAAGCGATATATGATTAGGTATTATTGTCACGACAGGAGTCCAGAATGAAGGCTGCATAGTGGAGTGGATTTGAGGGGAGGGATTGTGTAACAATGAGAGAATTTTCTTTTCCTTTTCAAAGAGAAGAGCTAATTGGGGGAGAGGAGTGTGCAGGGAGAAAAATGCAATAATTAATGGAAATCCAAAATCTCTGTAAACGTTCATTAAAATTAATTAAAAAAGAGTTATCCAGTCCCAAATATAAATAGAAAGACAAACCGTGCTCTAAGATTCTAAATTAGCGTTTCTTAGATCTAAGGGTATCGTCAAGAAGAAAAGACGAAAATATCATTGTCACTGGATCTGCTGAACCACCAGATGATACAACTAGGGAGGAAATCAATGAGTAGCAAGTGTGTGTGGCGAGAGAGGCAGGCAGCATCACCTCATGTTCCTGGTTCGCACGGGGCATGGAGGTGGACGCAGCCCCAGGTTGGAGTTGGGGCAGGGAGGAGAGCTAAGATTGGGGCTTCAGGCTTGCCTGGACCACCACAGTATGGACAAAGTCCATGTGTTAGAAAGTTCCTGTCTCTAGAGGTTTCTCAGAAGATGTAGCTGGTGCTTACAAAGACCCACCAAGGCTTCTGAGACCCTTCTGGACATCCTCTTCTCTGGGTTCTGCCATAGTTTATACCAAGTTTGTGGAAGTGACTCCCCCAAAATACAGCAGCCTCCTTGCAGCCGCCACTGACGGAGAGTTTTCATGAAAGGAGGTCTTTGTCCTCCTCTTGGTTGAAAGAGAACAGCCGCCCTGGGCTGTTACATGAGAGAAGATCTTCTGTTCATTCCTCTGCCTCCAGAACCAGCAACAGAAGGGAAGAACCGAGAGTGAAGTGGGAGGAGGAGAGAGAGATGCACATGTCCCCCACCTCCTTAGCTATGGGATCCCAAATTCTAGCTCAGGATTAATATTGTTGCCATCATAGCAGGAGTTGGCTCGGGATGGCCCATGAACCTGTTTTTGTAAATTCACCTTATCTGAGTACAGGCAGAGCACTCCTTTACCAGCGGCAGCTTTCACTCAACACTGGTAGAGCTTAGTCATTGTGACAAAGACCATATAACTTTCAGAGCCTGAAATATTTACTGTCTGGCCTGTTTCAGAGAAGGCTTATCTCCAGATCATTTTAAACCTAAGTGAGATAATGCAAGCACACAGAACTCTAAAGTGGCAGGTGGGGAATAAGGACTAAATTCCACCAAGGACACCTTGGGTGACACAAAGGGTTAAACACTTGACTGGTAACTGTAAGGTCAGGAGTTCAAACCCTCTCCCCCCCGCAAGAGCTGCCATTCTGCAACCCTAGGAGTCATGATGAGACAGAACTGACTTACTAGTAGGTGGTTTCAGTTCTCATTATGTTCATCATTACTGAGCCCATCGAAGCTTGATAGAAATAATAATAACAACAACAATAACAACAACAACAACTATGAGATATCATCTCACCCCAGTAAGAATAACAAAATCTAAAAGAGCAGCCCAATTGGCAGCATCAGGATGGATGGTGAAGAGATTGAGATTGTACACAGCTTTAGTTTGCTTGGCTCCATAGTCAACAGTCTTGGCACCAGCAGCCAGGAAATTAAAAGGTGCATTGCCATGGGAAAGTCTGCTGTTAGGGACCTCTCCAAAGTGCTGAAGAGCAATGGTGTCTCTCTGGAGACTAAGGTGCGTCTGATACAGGCCATGGTCTTCACAATCACTTGTTATGCATCAGAGAGTTGGACAATGACCAAGGAGGATAGAAGGAGAATTGATGCCTTTGAGCTGTGGTGCTGGAGAAGAGTATTGAGAATACCATGGACTGCTAGGAAAACAAACAGATTTGTCCTGGAGAGGGTTAAACCGGGTGGCTCCTTGGAGGCAAGGATTCTGAGGCTCCATCTAACATACTTTGGACATGTTGTGAGGAGAGACCGGTCCTTGGAGAAGGACATCATGCTTGGTAGGGTGGAGGGACAGCGCAGGAGAGGAAGGCCCTCTATGAGGTGGATTGATTCCGTGACTGGGATAATTGGGATGGGAGTGTCAGAGACAGTGCGATTGGCACAGGACAGAGCGGAGTTTAGGGCTTTTGTACGTAGGGTCGCTATGAGTCGCAAATGACTCGACGGCACATAACAACAACAACAACAGAGCAGCAAACAACAAATGCTGGTGAGGTTGTGGAGAAACTGGAACCCTTATTCACTGTTGGTGGGAGTATAAAAAATGGTACAACCACTGTGGAAGGCGGTATGGCACTTTCTCAAAAAGTTGCAAATAGAAATACCATCTGACCCAGCAATTCCTCTACTGTGAATATACCCCAAAGAGACCATAACTGCCACTCAGGCAGATATATGCACACCCATGTTTATTGTGGCTTTGTTCACAATAGCAAAGAGTTGGAAACAACCTAAGTGCCCATCAACAAATGAATGGATAGAGAAGCTGTGGTATATTCCACAACGGAATACTATGCTGCATTGAAAAACAAGGAACTCATGCAATATTATTCAAAATGGGTGACCCTGGAGGACATGATGCTGAGTGAAATATCTCAATCACAACAGGACAAATACTGCATAGTGCCACTGTAGTAAAACGGGACTGACATCAGGGTTGGGGTGAGATTGAGAAAAATTGGATAAATAATGTATACTGCATTGAAGTCTATGAGGGAGGGAACAGTTTAAAAGCAATATATGATTGGGTATTATGGTTATGACAAGAGTCCAGAATGAGGGTTGCCTAGTGGAGTGTACTCAGGGGTGGGGGTGGAGTGTATACCAATGAAGGAATCTTCTTTTACTTTTCAAAGAGAAGAGCAAACTGGGGAGGTTGGGGTGGGCAGGGAGAAAAATGCAACAATGAATGAATGGAAATCCAAAATCTCTGTAAATGTTCATTAAAATTCATAATAAAAAAAAAAACCAATAATTACAATAAAGAAATGATAGATGGAGAAGAGATTGAGGTTTACAATTACAGCTTGTTCAGCTCCACAATCAATACTCTTGGCACAAGCAATCAGGAAATCAAAAGATGAATTGCACTGGGAAAATCTGCTATCGGGGACCTTTCCAGAGTACTGAGAAGCAACAGTGTCAGTCAGGAGACTAAGGTGTGCCTGATCTAGGCCATGGTCTTTGCAATGACTTGCTATGCATCAGAGAGCTGGACAATGACTACGGATGACAGAAGAAGAAAATGCCTTTGAGTTTTGAACGCTGGAGAAGAGTCTTGAACATACCGTAGATGACAAACCATAGAAAACAACCAGGTCTGCCTTGGGAAGCGTAAAACCAAGTTTCTCTTCGGAGCCTAGGATTTTAAAGCTCTACCTCATATACTTCAGGCACTTGGCCAGGACGGACTGGACCTTGGAGAAGGACATCGTGCTTGGAAGGGTGGAGGGAAAGTGCAGGAGGGGAAGACCCCCGAGAGATGGATTGATAACAGTAACTGGGGAAATGGGTGTGAGTGTGTCAGAATCAGTGAGACTGGCTCAGGACAGGACAGGCTTCAGAGCTGTTGTACATAGAGTCACAGGCAATTTGACAGCACATACCAACAACAATAGCAAACACGGACATTTGAGAGATTGTTCTCATCGTCCTTGTTAAATGGCAAAGACGTGCAAGGTTAAGCTTTTTCCTGTGAGGACGTCTTGCTTTCCTGTCCTTTCCATGGGGGGTTAATGGAGCATATTGAGAACAGGGATGTGAGGAGGAAAGGAGTCTGTTCACAGGGGCCTCGGAGGCTGGAAGATCATTTGCTGAGCTGTGCAATAATGACAGAGCCACAACTTGAACTTCATTTCTCTTTGCCATTGGCTCTTCCGCCTTGCAACCTTCACAGTAATGAGGGCCTGGTGCAGATAAGTCTGAGGCTGGCCTGAGAAATTGGAATTAATCAACATTGCCCATTAAAAAAAAAAAAGTAACTGCCTTTATCACCTGCATTGAATTTAGCCCGGCTGGGGTCTGGCTGTGATCCTGACATACGGTACGTGGATCAGAGGCCTCGGGAAAGTCCATTATCCCCCAGAATTT